GAACACGTTTGTAATGTTTGTTCAAAATAAACCTGCTTCTTATGACTTCTGTAACATGTTTTGAATAAAATATTATCAGTAAAAATCTCAAATCATGTCCTTTCTAAGAATTTTTAGAACTAGAAGAACTTTAACTTTGCAGAGTTTCTCCCAGGATTTTTTTAACCGTGGTGGTGACCTCATGTGGGGGTTTGACAAAATCTGGTTGTCCTCAAAACATTTTGGTTGTCCAAAAAATACCTCAATAAAAATATTATTTAATAAGTAGGCTATATTGTTCTGTATACAAAGTGTAACATATACAAATGTTCTCAGTCAGCAGGTTGACAGTTTTAGGAGCTGCTTGAGGAGAACTTCCTCGTTCTCCTCCTCATCCTCTTCTTTGAAATAGAGATAAAAAACCAACATCCAGCATCCATAAGCTTTCTGCTTACAGGTCAAATATTTTTATTTAAATAGAAGTAAACTGTGTATTTATTAAAAGTTACAGTTTAGTGTTCTTAGGACTGAAGACTTTCTGAGGAAAGAAGTTTTTTAAACATCTTTTCTATTATTTTAGTGTTTTCAACTGAGGAGCTTTGATATATTTATTTAAAATAAATTATAGCAGAGCAAGTTCTCTGCACAGAAAAAAATACTGTTTTTTCATCAAACTAACAAGTTTATCCAGTAAAATTGCTGTGTAATTTAAAGGCATTGGTTAAATTTAGAAGAATTTTAAATTTAGAAACCTGGTTAAATTTAGAAGGTATGATTAACTACAAACATCTGAAGCTGACTCAGAGAACTCTGTGATTTCAGAAAAATAAAAGTCAAATGTAGACACGTCTTTAAAAGACCCTCCTCCTCCTCCCCACTCCGCGCAGCTGAGGTCAGCGAACCTTCACCCCACCTGTGTGATTAATACTGATTTTTTGTGCAAATTACAAATTTTTGATGCTCATTATACACGTTAAGCGTCTGAAGGGGTTGACATGTATGAACTCTTAAGTCCCGGGCTGGTCGGAGCCGAGCTGCAGACTGACAGGTTCAGCTGCTGTAAAGTCGCTGCCCCTTGCTTTAAAAACAGTCAGCTGATCGGTCGCGGTTTTGTTGCGCTCATGACGTGAACACACAGGAGGAAATGCTGTGAAGTGCTTTTAGAAATGTAATAAATATAAAATACGACATAATCCTCGGTGGAAAATAGTCCAGGAAATGTGTACGTTCCCGGGAGGTGTTCACCTGCAGCGGGGTGAAGCTGACCCCCAACCCACAGAGAAAGAAAAAAAGACAGTAATTATTGATAAGGTAACCATGCTGTGGCTTCACCCGCATTTTCTTTTAAAAAAAGAAAAAGTAGCTTTCAAAGCTGTCGCATCGGTGCAACGTGTTTAAAAGCAGAGCTGCGCATCTAATCACACACACACGTCTTCCTATCTTTGTGAGGACCACACACAGCGCTCAGCCTCGCTCTGCGTCATCTTTTTCCCCAAGTTTGATGAGAGGTGGATATGGAGGGACGCAAAAAATAGCTCTCGACTTGATCTGGCCTTGTTGATCTGGCCTTATTTAAATAAAAATGACTACATGCCGTGAAATTTTTAGAGGGGCGGGCTGTCTCGTTGGCGGGGGCGGGGTATAATGGGAGGGGAAACACTGCATGGATTCTGCTTTTCTGTCACAACAGTTTGAAAAGTGAAACAGTAGATTCAACAGTGCTGACAATAAAAAGTTTTTTGTTTGTTTCCTAATACACTGTTTTTTACTGGAAGTCTCACAATCAAAAGCCAACATTTAAAATCATACAGGCTTACATTTTGACTGGTAATCTTGTTGATGTTTTGAGCTCTTCTGCTAGATACAGTGGTTTGCAAAAGTATTCATACCCCTTGAACTTTTCCATATTTTGTCACATTACAACCACAAACATAAATATATTTCACTGGAAT